GTATGTCATAATGTATGAGAGGAGTAAAGTGATGGACGTGTTGTTGTTTGGTTTATAAGGGCCACTGAGAGAAGCCATACATAGTGGTGGTGGTGGTGGCACCAGCAGAACCCACCACCACTACCACACTTAAACAATGTATGTAATTTATAAATAAGAAATATTTACATTTTAATTTATAAATAAGAAATATTTACATTTTAATTTATAAAAAAGAAAGATTTACATTTTAATTTATAAATAAGAAATATTTACATTTTAATTTATAAATAAGAAATATTTACATTTTAATTTATAAATAAATAAGTTTATTCAGGTATACACAAATACAGTTACATACATAGATTATCATACATAGCAGCATATGTGTAAAGTACCTAGGATAACCCAAAAAAGTCAGAGTAACTTGTGTATTTCCATTGGGGTCCTTTTATATTTACACTTATATTTACTTTTATACTTACACTTTTATATTTACACTTACCTTGGAGGAGATGTTAGTTTAATTAGTTAGTTTGATGGAGGAGATGCTGGCAGAGGTTTAGGGTGGAGGAAGATAGCAGGCCGGCATTATGTTCATTGGCCCAATGCACATCCAACAACATTGGAGAGTTACTTTCATGTCTTTTTCTATCACTTACTCGCTTAACTTACTTGCCACACTGTTAATTCTACACTTTATCGCTGGCTGGCACTATAGCCTTTATCGATACCTGCTGCTTTAGTATCGTACATATCGTAGAATCACTGAATCACTGCAGAAGGCACATTCACTCCTCTCTTCCTCTTCCACTTTGGTACTTGGCTTAGAGTTTTTTCTTGAACTCTATTGTGCTTCTTTCCTTCTTTACCACAGGGCTGGCACTAGAAGCTTTCTTTAGGCCCATGGTGGCTTATTTACCAGTTACAAGCACTTAAAACAATGGAATAATACAAAATTTATCGCATGTACATGAGGAATCATCCTCCCTGGCTTGTAAACCATGGCACACTGGCTTTACACGAGCTCAGGCCGAGCAGACACGTTCGGGACGAATGCCCTTAACTGAGTTCTTGGGCATTAGCCAAGCCAATATTTTGACACAAAAACGTGCCACTATCCGATTTTGGTGTTAGCCGATGTCGCAATTACCCGAGGGTCCACTGTACATGAAAAAATAATTTTTTTGTGTGTTGCATCAATTCTGATTTCAAATTAAAAATCAGTATATTCAATTTTGTCTTTAAAACGTGCTTTTACCTTGGAAATAAATATATTTTTGTCTAGTGTGTCTCTTTTTTCTTCTTTAGTTTTCTGTAATAAATAATGTATCAGGAGCATTAACATGCTGACCAATAATTTTTTTTTATTAATGTTACATGAAGTAAAACAAAGAAAATAAAAATAAACTGAAATTTAACCCTTTCAGGGTCCAGAGGCCAAATTTCAAAGGGTGCACCAGTGTCCAAGAATTTTCAAAAAACAATTTTGTTATTTTTTCTTATGAAATAGTAGAGAATCTTTTTCTGAAGGTAATAAAACAAAAAGTACGAAATTTTATGAAAAATTGACGAAGTTATGCTCTTGCGAATTTTGATGTGTCAGCGATATTTACGCATTGGCGATTTTGCAGACTTTGACTCCCATTTTAGGCCAATTACATTATTCCAGTTGACCAAATTCTTAGCTATTTCACTAGTATTACTTCTATTCTATCGATTGAGCACAAGAATTTGCAAAGTCAACTGTTTCAACTACAAAATAAAGTGATCGGAAATTGGCAATTTGGCCAATTTAATGCAAAGTTCAAAATACTCCAATTTCAAAATAGAGTCCAGAATAAACAATGCAGGCATTCCTGGCACTAAACTAACATTTCCTCTGTTCATTAGTTATGTTTTCAGGCTTTATCAATGAATTCCATTTTTATTTTTTATTCACATAATAGAAGCATCAGGGAAGAGAGAGGTGAAGGTTTATAAACTAAAAGAGGAGGCAGTTAGGGTAAGATATAAACAGCTATTGGAGGATAGATGGGCTAATGAGAGCATAGGCAATGGGGTCGAAGAGGTATGGGGTAGGTTTAAAAATGTAGTGTTAGAGTGTTCAGCAGAAGTTTGTGGTTACAGGAAAGTGGGTGCAGGAGGGAAGAGGAGCGATTGGTGGAATGATGATGTAAAGAGAGTAGTAAGGGAGAAAAAGTTAGCATATGAGAAGTTTTTACAAAGTAGAAGTGATGCAAGGAGGGAAGAGTATATGGAGAAAAAGAGAGAGGTTAAGAGAGTGGTGAAGCAATGTAAAAAGAGAGCAAATGAGAGAGTGGGTGAGCTGTTATCAACAAATTTTGTTGAAAATAAGAAAAAGTTTTGAGTGAGATTAACAAGTTAAGGAAGCCTAGAGAACAAATGGATTTGTCAGTTAAAAATAGGAGAGGAGAGTTATTAAATGGAGAGTTAGAGTATTGGGAAGATGGAGGGAATATTTTGAGGAATTGTTAAATGTTGATGAAGATAGGGAAGCTGTGATTTCGTGTATAGGGCAAGGAGGAATAACATCTTGTAGGAGTGAGGAAGAGCCAGTTGTGAGTGTGGGGGAAGTTCGTGAGGCAGTAGGTAAAATGAAAGGGGGTAAGGCAGCCGGGATTGATGGGATAAAGATAGAAATGTTAAAAGCAGGTGGGGATATAGTTTTGGAGTGGTTGGTGCAATTATTTAATAAATGTATGGAAGAGGGTAAGGTACCTAGGGATTGCAGAGAGACATGCATAGTTCCTTTGTATAAAGGCAAAGGGGATAAAAGAGAGTGCAAAATTATAGGGGGATAAGTCTGTTGAGTGTACCTGGTAAAGTGTATGGTAGAGTTATAATTGAAAGAATTAAGAGTAAGACGGAGAATAGGATAGCAGATGAACAAGGAGGCTTTAGGAAAGGTAGGGGGTGTGTGGACCAGGTGTTTACAGTGAAACATATAAGTGAACAGTATTTAGATAAGGCTAAAGAGGTCTTTGTGGCATTTATGGATTTGGAAAAGGCGTATGACAGGGTGGATAGGGGGGCAATGTGGCAGATGTTGCAAGTTGTATGGTGTAGGAGGTAGGTTACTGAAAGCATGGAAGAGTTTTTTACGAGGATAGTGAGGCTCAAGTTAGAGTATGTAGGAAAGAGGGAAATTTTTTCCCAGTAAAAGTAGGCCTTAGACAAGGATGTGTGATGTCACCGTGGTTGTTTAATATATTTATAGATGGGGTTGTAAGAGAAGTAAATGCGAGGGTCTTGGCAAGAGGCGTGGAGTTAAAAGATAAAGAATCACACACAAAGTGGGAGTTGTCACAGCTGCTCTTTGCTGATGACACTGTGCTCTTGGGAGATTCTGAAGAGAAGTTGCAGAGATTGGTGGATGAATTTGGTAGGGTGTGCAAAAGAAGAAAATTAAAGGTGAATACAGGAAAGAGTAAGGTTATGAGGATAACAAAAAGATTAGGTGATGAAAGATTGAATATCAGATTGGAGGGAGAGAGTATGGAGGAGGTGAACGTATTCAGATATTTGGGAGTGGACGTGTCAGCGGATGGGTCTATGAAAGATGAGGTGAATCATAGAATTGATGAGGGAAAAAGAGTGAGTGGTGCACTTAGGAGTCTGTGGGGAACAAAGAACTTTGTCCTTGGAGGCAAAGAGGGGAATGTATGAGAGTATAGTTTTACCAACGCTCTTATATGGGTGTGAAGCGTGGGTGATGAATGTTGCAGCGAGAGAAGGCTGGAGGCAGTGGAGATGTCATGTCTGAGGGCAATGTGTGGTGTGAATATAATGCAGAGAATTCGTAGTTTGGAAGTTAGGAGGAGGTGCGGGATTACCAAAACTGTTGTCCAGAGGGCTGAGGAAGGGTTGTTGAGGTGGTTCGGACATGTATGAGAGAAAGGAGCGAAACAGAATGACTTCAAGAGTGTATCAGTCTGTAGTGGAAGGAAGGCGGGGTAGGGGTCGGCCTAGGAAGGGTTGGAGGGAGGGGGTAAAGGAGGTTTTGTGTGCGAGGGGCTTGGACTTCCAGCAGGCATGCGTGAGCGTGTTTGATAGGAGTGAATGGAGACAAATGGTTTTTAATACTTGACGTGCTGTTGGAGTGTGAGCAAAGTAACATTTATGAAGGGATTCAGGGAAACCGGCAGGCCGGACTTGAGTCCTGGAGATGGGAAGTACAGTGCCTGCACTCTGAAGGAGGGGTGTTAATGTTGCAGTTTAAAAACTGTAGTGTAAAGCACCCTTCTGGCAAGACAGTGATGGAGTGAATGATGGTGAAAGTTTTTCTTTTTCGGGCCACCCTGCCTTGGTGGGAATCGGCCGGTGTGATAATAAAAAAAAAAAAAAAAAAAAAAAAATAATGAATTTTTATTCAAACCAAAAAATAGAAGATTTACTGTCATGCAATATTGTAATAATTGTATAAATAATATCACCAGATTTGTGAATGTATATTAGACCCACCAGCAGGCGTGTATTAGACGTGTGAGGTCATTTGTTTACTCTTGAAAATCGGCAAAAATTTAACATTTCCGCTACTCTGAGCTCAGTTTCAAGCCATTTCCAGTACTAAAACCAATCAAAATCATATTTATGTAATATGTCTTCCATTCTATCAAATGATACCAAGAAATCGCAAATACAACTATAAAAAACATACGAAAAAACACTGCAAAGTCGCTGTTTTAATCGAAAATTACGGTTTCAGTTTTTCTCTCATTATGCACTATGTGCTGCAGGATTTGTTTTATGTGGTGCACACATACCACATAGATGTATTCTCTCATATCAAGGCCAAAACTTACCGCTCACAGCTTATCAGAGTGAGCTGAGCTCATGACGTAGATCTACGGTTAGGACCATCAACGTAAAGCCGTAGATCTACGGCACGGACCCTCAAGGGGTTAAAACTTTTTTCTTCCAAGTTTAGTGACAAAGGGTAATCAATCTACTATTGCTTCTTAACACATTACAATAATAGAAATATCTACAGAAATTACCAGTTGTGTGTCTACATGGTGGTTGGGGCGCTTTTCTAACTGCTGCAACTCTTCTTCCAGATATGCCAAGCTTTTATGCTTGGTTATATATTCATCCCATACTGCACGCAGCTCTGCCTCCTCTTCTTCAAATTCAGTTTGCCATGCTGGCCTGAGAATAAATTATAAACCTTGTTAATGAACAGTCTCAATTATAAATTCAATTACAGTGTACTGCTAAACCACTACAGGTCGGCCATCACTAATCCGGCAAGCAGTTATCCAGTTCCAGTAATCCGGCACTAATTTTGGCTTGCATAATTCAAATTTCATCATTATACTGACTCAGAAATTGTGCAGATGGTTGTAAATCCACAGCAGCAAGTCAGTGGAGGAGAAAGCAGAATGAAAATGAGGAAGATGTAGCAGAAAGAGTCTATACTGATAGGTTAATTAAGTGTATTCTAAGCTAACCACTCTGTAATCCGGCAAACTCACTAATCCGGCACACTACAGGTCCCAATGAAGCCGAATTAGTGATGGTCGACCTCTACTACCTCTGTTGAAATATAAAAAAACGATGTCCAATTCTAACCAACTATGATATAGTATATGCCTTGTATTAAGCAGTCTGTTAAGCATTAGATTTAATCTGCCCGAAATGCCTTGGCATGATAGCGACTCTTTGTATTTAGCAAATCAAAATTGTAATTCTTCTTTCTTCTTTCAACAAACCGGCCGTATCCCACCAAGGCAGGGTGGCCCAAAAAGAAAAACGAAAGTTTCTCTTTTTAAATTTAGTAATTTATACAGGAGAAGGGGTTACTAGCCCCTTGCTCCTGGCATTTTAGTCACCTCTTACAACACGCATGGCTTACGGAGGAAGAATTCTGTTCCACTTCCCCATGGAGATAAGAGGAAATAAACAAGAACAAGAACTAGAAAGAAAATAGAAGAAACCCCAGAGGGGTGTGTATATACATGCTTGTACATATATGTGTAGTGTGACCTAAGTGTAAGTAGAAGTAGCAAGACATACCTGAAATCTTGCATGTTTATGAGACAGACAAAAGACACCAGCAATCCTACCATCATGTAAAACAAATACAGGCTTTCGTTTTACACTCACTTGGCAGGACGGTAGTACCTCCCTGGGCGGATGCTGTTTACCAACCTACTACCTAGGAAAATTGTAATTACACATTGTAAACAATGCAAAGAAATAAAATCTTTAATTCTTAAAGTAATGTGGCAGATGCTGCAGGTGTATGGTATAGGAGGTAAGTTACTGAAAACAGTGAAGACTTTTTATGAGGATAGCGAGGCTCAGGTTAGAACATGTAGGAGAGAGAGAGATTATCTCCCAGTAAAAGTAGGCCTTAGACAAGCATGTGTGATGTCACCATTTTGTTCAATATATTTACAGATGGGGTGGTAAGAGAAGTGAATGTGTGGGTGTTGGGAAGAGGTGAGGAGTTAAAAGATAAAGAATTTAACAGAAAGTGGGAGCTGTCATAGTTGCTCTTTGCTGACGACACTGTGCTTTTGGGAGATTTGGAAGAGAAGTTGTAGAGGTTGATGGATGAGTTTGGTAGGGTATGTAAAAGAAGAAAATTAAAAGTGAATATGGGAAAAGGAAAAAAAGGGTTTTATGGGGATAACAAAAAAATTAGGGGGACGAAAAAACGGGATTTTCAACGGGAGGAGAGAGTATGGGAGGTGAATGTATTCAATATTTGGGAGTGGACGTGTCAGGAGAGGGGGCCCATAAAGGAAATGAGGTGAGTCATAGAATTGATAAAGGGGAAAAGGGTGAGGGGTGCCTTAGGAGTCTGTGGAAAACAAAAAATTTTGCCCCTTTAGAAAAAATTGGGGAATGTAAAAGATTTATATTATACCAAACTCTTAAATTTTGTGAAGCAGGGGTTTGAATAATGAACAAGGAGAAGGCGGAGGCAGGGGAGATGCCATTTTCGGGAGGGCAATTTGTGGGTGTTAAAAATAATGCAGAAAATTTCATAGTTTGGTTTTTAAAGGGGAAGGGGTTTTGGGGTTTTCCCAAAACTTTTACCCAAAAAAGGGTTTTGGGGAAGGGGTTGTTTGAGAGGGTTTTCAACTTTAGAGAGAATAAAAAAAATAGACTGATTTTCCGGAGTGTAGAAATCTAAATTTAAAGGGAAAAGGCGGGGTAGGGGTGGGCCTGGGGAAAATTTCCCGGGGGAAAGGGGGGTAAAGGGGGTTTTTTGTGTCGAGGGGCTTGGACTCCAGAAAAGCACGCGGAGCGTATTGGGATAGGAGTAAAGGGGAGAAAAAATGGTTTTTGGGAAACTTGATGTACTTTTGGGAGTGTGAGCAGGGTAACATTTATGAAAAATTTCCCGGGGAAACCAACGGGCAACTCTTGAGCCGGGAAAGGGGGAAAAGTACATGTCGCAACTAAGGGGGGTTTTTTAATTTTGCATTTTTTAAAAATTTATTAACAGGGCCTTTCGGGGAAAAAACAGTGATGGAGTGAATGATGATGGAATTTTTTCCCTTTTTTGGGGCCAAACCCGGGCCTTAAAGTTTTTTAAAAAAAAAAAATTTTGATTTTCCCAAAATAAAAAATTTTTTTAAAAAACACGGCTTTTTCCCCCCACCGAGGGGTGCAAAAACGAAAAAGAAAAAACACTTTCATCATCACTCCCCCCTCCATAAATGTCTTGCCAGAAGCTTGCCGAACTCAGTTAAAAAAACTAAAAAATTTTGGTATATAAAAAGTGGACTTTCCCCCCGAGAATAACGCATGAAAATGAAAATTTTTATTTCAAAATTTATATAAACCAAAGGAAATACAAAATTATTGTCAAAACTGTTTTTTTATGAAACAAGATTCAATTATTTCCTGCACCAGGGACTTGCTTGATACTATTTTCTCAATTTTTTGAAAACAATTTAAGAAAATTTAACCACCCAAAATTGATTTTCAAAAAGTTGAAAAAGTGAAACCAAGCAAGCCCAGGGCGATGGAATAAAAATTGAACTTTTTTTTAAATAAAAAGCAGTTTTGAAAAAAAAAATATAAATTTTTTCCCTTTTGGGTTTATAAAAATTTTAGACCCTTTTTTAAAATTAATAAAATTTTGGGAAGAATTTAATAATACACGGAAAAATTTAAAAATTTTTTTAAATTTTCTTGGGTAGAATATTTTTTTGGGGATTTTGTGCAAAGGACCTACCCAAAGTTGGGTCGGGCGCGCTTTCACGTTTTTAAAACCTTTGGGGGGATCGATAGGGGAGGTGCGGGCCAACCCCTTATATATTTCCCTTTTGGGGGCTTTACTTTCATAGTCCTTGTTTAATGTGAGGGGCCACAAAACCCTTTGGGAATTTCTCTATTTTTTCCCGAGGGTTGTTTTGCCCCGCATGCAAATTTTTAATAATATAAAAATAAAAATATATAAATATAATATATTTATAATAAATATATATATATATATATATAATATAAAAAATTTTTTATAATATATATATGTATGTATGAAAGGGAAATGTTGTATTATGTATGATGTAGTATGAAATTTAGTAGGGGGGGCAGAACAAAAAACCGCCCATGGATTACTAACCGCCTTTCCAAGTAGGGGTAAAACAAAAGCCTGTAATTGTTTTACATGATGGAAAGGACCCCGGTGTTTTTTTGTCGGGTCTCATAAATATCGGGTACACATCCCATTTTCAAGCATAAATTACACACCCCCTCGGGGTTTTTCTTTTTTTTCTTTCTAATTCTTGTTCTTGTTTTTTTCCCTCTTATCTCCAGGGGGAAAAGGGGAAAACAGAATTTTTTCCCTGTAAGCCATCGTTTCGAAAGGGAGGCACTAAAATCCGGGAGAAAGGGGGCCAGAAACCCCTTTTTCCTGTATATATTACAAAATTTTAAAAGGAAAAACTCAGTTTTTTTTTTGGACCACCCCACCTCAGGGGGAAAAGGGGCTGTACGTTGAAAGAAGAAAAGATATAAAATTTTTAAAAATTTATATTAATAATAAAAAAAAAAATATATAATATATAAATATATATAAATATAATAAATATATAAAATATATTTTATATATTTTTATAAAAGATTAAAAATAAAAAATAAAAAAGATTTAAAAAATTACTAAAAAGAATAAAAAAAAAAATTTGCCAAAGGGGGAAGCCCTAAAATTGCGGGATGTTGTGCAGATGAAAAGGAAAAAAGATGATTGGGGATTTTGAATGAGAAAAAGCGGATGTGGGGGCTTAAGTAAAAAAAAAGCGGAAGGGGGTGGGGAGAGTTTCAGGGGAGAGGAAAAAAAGGGATTAGGTCAGGGGTTTAAAATAGATTTAAGGCTAAAGAAGGGAAAGCAAAAATTTGAAGGGATAAGCTAGGGCGGGAAAGGGGGACTATAAATGAAAAAAATTCAAGGTTTAAAGGGGAGCAAAATAAAAAATTGGATGTAAAAAAGGGGGTTTATAATAAGCGTGTAGCACCTGGAAAGAGAGAAGTTAGAGAAGAGGAGAGATTTTGGGAAATGTTGATTTGAAGGGCGTGGGGAGTTTTGAATCAAGTGTGAAGTCGGTGGTTGGGGTTTTTAATGCTAAATGGGTAAAAATTTTTTGGGGGGATTTAGTGGGAAAGTTTTTGGGGGTCCCCAGGGGTAAATGAAAAATTGGGGACCCTTTTTAATTTGACTATTGAAAGAAAGAAATTTGGTAATAATTTAATACATTTTTTAAATGAAAAAGAGGATAAATAAATATAAAAGGTATGATGAAGCACGAAAGAAAGTATTTTTTTTAATTTGTTTTGGAGGGGATAAAAGGTTGAGGGGAAGGCCCCGGGTTGTACATTTTTATAGGGGGCAACTGATAAAACGGATCATTATTTATTTTGTAGCAACATTAGAGTAAGGGGTGATGGAAAAGGGGAAAGGTGGCAACAACAAGTAAAAGGGAGGTAAAGTGTAAAAACTAAGGGAGGAGGAATTTCGGGTGAGATATAACACTTTTGGCAGAAAGGTGGGCTAGTGAAAAAGATGAGAAAGTGGGGGGGTTAAAGGGGGTTGGAATATTTTTAAAATGCAGTATTAGAATGGGGGGCAGAATTTTGGGGTTTTAATGGGAAGGGGGGGGGCGGGAAGGAAAGAGGAGTGACTGGGGGAATGTTAA